GGCGATTATCTCGCCCCTGATTATTCCCGCCGGTGGAGCCGAGCTACTCCGCAGGCCCACTCCGGTCTCCCACTCTTGCTTTCGACGACGATGTCCTTTGCACCTTTCTGCTATCTGATCACCATCTTTGGAATATGGCTGTGTCGTGAGATTCCCAAAAATTTTCTTTCTATGGTTCTCCCAGTCACAGATGGCTGGAACTCTGCAGCCGGTCGGCAGGATGGCAGAATTGAATAGTTGACGGTGCAATCTTTCCTAGGATGTTGCCTAGACGAACGTCCTCGATGGAGTGGAATGCGCCACCTGGTCATCTTTCTCCGTAAAATCTCTCCGGCCTAATCGAGGAGCATATTTGTCTATTAGCCCAGGTAAATCTGTTTATCGATTTCGATCTTTTCGCGTTTAATATTACCTGGGCCTTGGGCAGGGCATCCAATCGCTGTATTTTTATCCGATGGATTCATAGTCTGATTTCTGCAATTTGTCAGTGGAGCTTATGCAGCATGTCTTGTAGCTTATGGAGGATTTTCACAAACAGCGCTGTCACCAACGAACTTTATGTGTCCGATCCGTTCGCCACAGACGATTCGCCCAGACTTTCAGGGATATCATTTTTGAACAGGCAGTGAAGAGTTTCTGGAGACGGTGTCTCGTTATTTCATACCCTGCACAACGGGTAACTGGAGGGAGGTGTTGAACAATTTGGCGTTGTGAAGCATCATTAATTCGCTTCCTTTGACAGGTTGATGTGACGGGTTTCAACGTCCTCTTCTGCCAACGCAGTTGATACTGGAGGGGAGTCATCAAAGGTGGTGTACAGATGAAGATATTGTTGCCTCGCGCGCTTTAAGACGTGATTTAAAATAAAGTGTAACCCGATGTGCAGTAGCTTCTGCGGATTCCTGTCACTTCTTTTGGGCACTGTTTGTCTAGACTTGTTGACAGTCTATTGTTGATGATTTTAATGAATAGCTTTTACACTTGCGAGAGCAGGCATAATGGGCGATAGTTGTTCAGATCTTCCTTCTTGTAGAGAAAGATAGTTTTTTATGCATTCCAACTTAATGATATTTTTTTAGTTTCCTGGTAGCAATTGAACCTCTCTGCTAGATATCTCTAAAGCATCTGACAACTTACTCTGATCATTTTAACTTGAGGCAGTCTTTCTGGGATTCTTCTTTACTTCAATGCATGCTGAGCTTCGCCTGTGAGGACCTGGAGTGCTCTTCCTTTTGGCTATCGGAATGATGACAGGAAGGGGTATTTGCGTTTAAAAGTTTTTGCAGACAGACTGCCTTGCAGCTCTGTCAGACTTTAATGCGCCATCTCTGTTCTTGAATGCAATGATAGTTTGACTGATAAAGCGCGAGCTTTCCCCTCCATTCTCTGAGGTTTCTGCATTTTTCGATTGTTTTTTCCAATTTTCAGAACTGGAAGGTTTCGAAGTCCTCCTTCAGCTTCCTTCGAATGAGTTTGCGTAGAAGAATGCACTCCAACGTGTCGGTTTTATCTCTCTTCATCCTACTTCCCTTCTCTAGCAAACTCTTCATCTCTTCTGAGGTCCTTCGTTTCACTCTCTTCGATGCCACCACCTCGGCTAATGCTTCGTAGTTGTCGTAGCAGCTGCCTTTCAGGTTTCCAGTCTTAGCGTGGATTGCACTGTTGAAACACCAACCAGTACAATACGTTCTGTCGTTGTCAGCGATTTGTAATTTGCGGTGCTCCTTTTTATTCTCCTTCCCTCGAGATGTCGTTTCATCTGTACTGTCTCTGATCATTGCCGAGGTTAAATGATGCCACTACTGCTATGCCTAGGATTTTCGATGTTTATCGAACAGAACGAATTTGATATTTTTCTTCGTCACCGCGATTGGCGTGATCATATAAACGTCCTGTCAGCCTTCCTTTTGAACCCGCTCTTGCAATGTACAGACGTTATATTTCTGCTATGGCCACCAGTCAGTCTCTTCGCTCATTTTCCTCTACGGTGCAGTGTCCACAGGCGAACTTTTCAGTGGCCTTTCCTCGTCCTACTTTGGTATGGCAGTCTAAAGTGACGAGGGTGTGCGTCGAGTTGTTGACCAATGCTTGTTCAGGCTCTTGATAGAATCCCTTCACTTCCTCTTCCCTGGCCGTACTTGTGAGAGCATGGGACTGGAGGATCTTCGAAATCATTTTCTTGTTCAGTTAGAGGCAGAGCACGCCCACGTCCACTCTCTACCGACTGGATATCCCTGGTCTGAACCAATGTACGGTAAATTCCTTGCTCAAGGAAATTCGGAATAAGACAGATATTGCCTTCGAACGGTATCTGACTCGGCACCTCCGGAGTTCGAAGCAGACCTATTACAGAATTGTGCCAACACGTTGATTTTTGAGGAAACGATGTGCCGCTAACAAATAAATCACGCATTTAAAGTTCAGCTAGTGGTTGTCAGTTATCATTTACCTCGCCTATGCCGTGTGATCCCAGATATCGAGGCAGCTCATTCTTTTCCCTCGTCGCATTGAAATCATCGAGAACGATCAAGATATCATGGATTCGACACTGATACAGCCTGAAACGCAACCTGACATAAAATTGGTCCTTTACCGCCTTTGCCGCAGCCTCGAAGGGATCATAATGGTCAACTACCGTTATACCAAATTCTTTGTACATGGACTTGAACCTCGCCGTAATGATTCAGTCAGGTATCACATCCCGCTGTGTGAGCAGTGTCTTTCCTGTAGAATAGAAGCTGTAGTTTCCAACGACCTCGAAGCCTGATTTAAGCCAGCGCGTCTATTGCATTGCACCTACCTGTATTTCCATCGCAGTCAGTTCTTCTTCAACCAATGTAGTCTGCCCAGGTCTTTCTAACGTTTGTACATTCCACATGACATATTTGCTATTGATATTTAGCGCTAAAAGATATTCGTCTCTGCATGCAGTTTTTCCTGATTCATGCGCGTAGCTAGTGAGACTTCTGAGTTAGTAACCAATTAAGTCCTGTCCGAATAATAACTTCTGCATGGTTCATGTAATCAGAAATATATCTACTGATTTGCCCCTCCGGAATCCCTTTAGCTATCTGTTTCATGGTTCAAGCGGGCCTTCGCGGAAACGATAGCGGTTAGGAAGAATGCACTCTTCATCGTACTTCGTCTTGCAAAGCATTCCCTTACGTTGAGCGTTGCCCCTCTTACATCTGAGGCGAACAGTTGAATACTGAAGACCATTTGGTACACGTAATAATGCTATATTATATGAAATGCGAAGTTGTCCAAACTTGCTCTACTTTTCAGGTTGATACAAGCGCAGTTCTGGCACGATCCCTTCGACGAGGAAACTTATCGACGCGAAAGTCTCTTCTTGGCCGACATCAACAACGAGAGGGTAAAATGTCGAAACGTTATTAAATTCATGTCGCCAGTGACACCCCTAGCAATGAACGTTTTTACATGAGTGATTAAAAATTAAGATAGAATTTTGTAAGGCCGTATGTCATTATCGGTTGTTCTCATAATGTTGCATAGAGCAATACGTAGCCTGTGAAATAATTATATTTGCTGACTGTGCGGTCAGCGCAACAGCAGTTGCTCTACTGGTTGAAAAAGTTCTTCTAATAGCTGTGGCCAGTGGCCGCAGGTGCATGAAAGGGGAACAAAGCAAAGCAGTAAAACTTTTTAAGGGTTGCCTACCTGAAATGGAAAAGATATTATCTTCACCAGATCCGTGAACAGATTGCAGTGGTTTCTTAGCTTTCTGGAACTAAATGACTGGACAGTTTTCAGATTCATATCTAAGTCGATACGTGGTTGCTGTGTCGGCATATGTACGGTATGGGTTTTAGAGCTGTATCCCGACTGAGAAGGTCTATTTGTATGGTAGCAGCTCTCATTTCAGCTCTGAAATGGTGGGAAATCTGTTTAGAGCTGAAAGTCAAGCTTATTGTGCATCTTAATACAGAGAATAGCAGAAATAAACCGCCTGTTAAAAGTGATTGAACAGGAGATCTTCGACTTCGATGAAGAACCTATGAACATACCAGGATAAATGATAGACGATCAACAAAAATGTAATCTACGCAAGAACCGGGCAATTTGCCTCTTAGAAAGTAATATCTTTACCGACTGATAAGATGGAACATAACTCATCTCTTGACGTGAAAAACTTTTTAAACCTTAAACGATAATTGTATGGATAATCATATTTTTCTCATCATTGGTCGATGGTGAGACTTCAGTTTATTTGCACATGCAAGTAAATTCGCTAGTAGTGCCACTACCACTGTTATTACCGCTACAGATGCATAAAAATGTTGTACATGTAAACTTGCTACTTTTCTAGGGCATAAACGAATCTTACCGCAATAACCTGAAGAATTTGGACAAGCTGGTGTTGGTGATGTTTTCAAATGACACCATGGTCATTCCGAAAGAGTCCTCCGTATGTTACCTTTTCACAGTCGAAGCATAGTTTTCTAACATGTGCTATTCATATATGTTTAGTGGTTTGGATTCTATTCTTCACACCAGACAACGAACGTTGTTCCAATGGAAGAAACTGATTTATACGTTCAAGTGAGGTTCGATTTTTAAGTGCAGTGCTTGTCACTGAAAATTAATTTACATCAAAAGCGGTATCATTTCTGTTAGTAACAGCTGGTAAGCCAAAGGAACTGACTGTATTTAGTGCCAGCTTTAAAGTGGAGGGTATTTCTTTAGAATATTGTGCGAAATTGTTGCACGTCATAGGGGTGTAGAGCATAGAATAAACTTATGTATCAAATTGGAGGGTGAAAGCAGAATCCCAAAACTAGAGATAGAGTGCATGACTTGGTTGTTTTGAAGTGTGACAGCCTACATCACAGGTCTAGAGCATCAGAAGTTCATTTTTTCAGCGTCTACGAAGATAACAACGTAACACGGTTGAAGTTGGTAGTTGTATTCAGCAAGCAAACACATAATGTGCTACCTATGCTCTTCTTTCCTCTCGGCCAAGATCGGAAATACGAATCCAGCGTGGAGAACGTATATTTTCTCTCGCTTTAAAACATCGGACCTCTGTATTGTTCTTGGATAGTCATCACCGGTCCTCATGCGTCCACCGAAGTGCAATTTCCAGACATATGGTCATGTCATTATCAATCGGTGTCATACAGCTGTACGTAAGGAAACATATGAATCTGTAAAGGGCGTCAGATGAATGAGATTCTTTCTTTGTCCTCATTGTAAATGCCTGGGGGCAAATTGTGCTGGAGTTTTCTGTTATTCTGAAATAGGATAATAAATTTGATCTCGGGATAATTCATTGCTTTTAGGATAAAATTGGCCTTCAAGCGATGCAGCGTGCTGGAAAATTGTACTTTGAAGAGGTGGCTGGCGATCATTTGTTCCTGACAGAGACAAAATTTCGATCTTTGATTCAGACATACCTAAAATGAACCATGTGCTCCTTTTCTGCTGCCACCTGTCTGTATACATGAATAAATTAATTTGGGCATTTCGTAGTCTTCAGGAAAGCCATAGAGTGAAAGTCGCATCGAAATGAAAGATGTTAAAGAAGCAGACCTTCGTATTTCAGTATCAGCTTCACTTTGAATCTTTAAGTACACAACAGGCAATTAATTACAAATCTATGCTTCATATATGACGTCGCATGCTTTTCAAAATTCCTTTAACACAGTTTTACTCTGACTAGGAAACTACGTGTTCTTGTTTCGTCTTCAAGACAAGGCATAAGGAACCGAAATAGAAATTTCACTCTTTAAACGATATAACGAATAACATTGCATATGTAACAATTCAGGACGACGCAACAGCAGCGAATGAAGACACGTCTTGTGCCGGAGTAGTGGGGACAGAAACTAAAATATGAAGAAACTGGTAACCGGATTCAACATACTTTCACGGCTGTTCTCTCTTCACATGCATTTTGATGAATGACATGAAATTTTCTAAACGTCTATTACTTGATATAACACTTTCAGTGTCATTTTGGTCCTTCTTTCCGTTTGGAGTAATGTCACGCTGTATTTGCAACTGATATCATAATGTCTGATGATCCCTCAACCTAGGTGTTTGTTTGCCCGTTTTGCTACGCATCTGTCCATCGACATATCTAATTACCAAACATCGCATCTATTTAATATCCGTCGAAACATGTATTTTTTACCTGTCTATTTGCGCACGTATTTGGGCTATTTTCTGGCCTTAAATGTTTAGATGTTCGACGGCGTTCAGTACCACATCTAACTCTTTCTTCAGAGGAAATCGGTATTCGCCTGAATAAATATACTAATCTGCAAAACTTTTTATCCAAACAGTGGTTTATGACCATAGGTAGCAGGTACGCATGGTCTACTATTGCAGCAAACTTTTTAACGGTACATTACGAATTTTTTCGATTACGGTACTTACAGAATGATTCCGTATTGCATGGCTTCAGGTACATAAATAACATTATGATACAAGAACATCTGTGACGTATTAACGTGCAAGTCCGCCTTCAGTTTTCTTCAGTTGTCAACAATTTGTCTTTTGCGTTCTTGTGTCTAATGTTGATAAAGCTGTCTCTTTCAAAACAATTTTCTAAAGCGCTGCCTTCGACATACGTCATCAGGCTAGGCAAATGCATGTATAATTTTATGCGTTTTCTCTTCGTGGAATTGCTTCAGATTCAGTTAAATAAATTATTTCTGAATATGAAAGCTTGAATAAGAGAGCAAGCTGTTGGTGCTTGAACCTTCTCTAAGCTTCTAGAAGTTCATACTATTTTTTCGAATTAGATATTCAAAATTTCAATCGCACATGGTCGGTAACACAACCGATCCCTTGAATAACGTCTCACACACTGTTTCCTTCACTGCAAGACGAGGTCTGAAACAGAAGAAATCTTTCATGACTGTGTTGCAGTGAAATCTATTAAACAGGGTCTGTTTTTGATCAATTTTTATTTAAATCATGAACCTCGATAATTTGTGGCAGTGTTCTCTCTGTAAAACTGCGCACGATTAAATTTCGGCAAACTCCGCCTGTAACATGCAGCTGTCTCCTCTCTAACAATATGTCGGCTCTGCTGCGC